AATGTGCAGCCTGCATAGCCGCCCAAAGAGGCAACGTATATTTCGTCTGTCGAAAGCACATATACAAAACGTGCATCTAATTCTACTGTAAATTCGCCTATTTTCCACTATCATCCAACAGTACAATTAGCATCGATCATGGTTATCTCCATCCACTGCTTCACAGGCTTCTCTTCAAATCTGTGGTTGGACTGGGGCATTTGGTTTAAACTAGCGTTACCGGGACTGATCATGGAGGTAATGGAGTGGACAATTTTCGAACTTGGAACCTTCATTGCAGGTCAGCCAGTGCTGAATGTTCTAGTTTTATCAGTAGTTAATATTTGATACTTGGTTCTCTTCGAAACAACCTCAACTACTTTGGGTTGCAAGAAACAAACCTTAAGGTGACCCTGTTATTTGAATTAAACCTATGTTAGGCATGCAAATCATACTTAAATATGTTCAGACTTTGCAGCGCTACGCTCAGTACATATGAGATAATGCTTGCTGGGCCTCTGAGTTAACGGTTCTAGACATTTCTTAGCAATCTCGAGGTTCCCAGCAAGTTTCCTTGTAATTGCAGTCGTTTCCATTCTGGTAATAACCAAATAAAAAGCCAAATAAGGAAAGCAATATTCAGGACCAATTTATATAAATGATTAGGCGTGTCACTGCATCGAAAGCAAGGATTGATATGGACGTTTTGCCAATAAGCCTAGTTATATCCACATACCGTATTCCGAAATATTATGTGCATCCCTCCCGTGATGATGCTAGCGATCTTGGTAACATAAGATATATACGTTTTATAAAAATATATTGAAAAATAATAATCGTGTGCTTACCACGTAACAATGTTGTCTAAACCGGGGGACTGAATTGTTTTACAATTGCTAAACGACAGATCGAAATGCTAGCTTGAAATTTTATTCACGCAGTGATAAATGCAGTCTGTCATTCACGGATGACCAACTTGCATAAAACCATAAAAATCTACTTAACAAGTGTGGCTTTAAGGTAGAAATAACCATGTGCATTCATTGTGCATGATGTTTGAGGGTTGAAAAAATAGACACTACCGGTGAAAACCACAAGGTTGTAAGTATTACATCGCTCGAAGCAAGTGTAGACCGTGTGCCCGGGGAACCATTATGAAATATAGATGTCAGATTCCACCAACACTGAAATCCATCAAGAGAGGATTAAATGCTTCCAAAATTTTTCTACGTATAGCAGTTAGATTTAATCGAAATTCAATACATATTCTTATTAATCTATGTATGATTATTTAATATGATCTTACCATTCGGTTTCCACAACTTAACCTATATGATATGCCACAATGAACCGGATTTCTTACATTTAAGTTTGGGGTAGTTTCATATATGTACGCTCACATTCAAGTTAACAATTAAAGGCCGGTATTATTACCACAGATGCTGAGTTTACAGATATTGTACAGTCTGCGCTCTGCAAGTACGTGCTAAATACTATGGTGTGTATTAGCTCACATTGCAAGTCATTACGCTTGGAGAATAACTGTAAAAATAAGTGATAGATATTTGCTGCCTTATTGTACCCGACTACATTTACAACTTTAGAATATACAGTTTTCACAGAAAATGATTTCCGATGCTGTAGTCCGTTTCTCAGGCAATTAATGAGTTCCATCAAATAATCCTGCACCCATCTTTGGTTAATGGAAGGCAGGATACTTCTGCGTGAACTCATGACTTTAAAAGCCAAGACTGACACTCGACTGGTTCGCAAATTTCATAGCACTGGAAGATAAATCGAGCTAGATGACAGTTAAGCTAGTCACAATAGTGCCTTCGAACCTAGCGGACCAACGTCATAAAAATAATGAAGTGGTATTATCGACAACAGTGTGAGGCACAGCGGAAAAATGGGAGGTCGAGGTTCCGAGTAATAATGCATTCGTTAACAAATCCTTTGAGTGGTAATAATTCAGAAAGGGAAATATAAGGATTATATGAAAATGACTTTCAAACACTCGCCATATTGTTCCATTGCGTCATACGTACAATAGCCGAGATGTTCAGCAGGTAATATGCATAAATCCAGCCGGTTGGAATTTTGTTTACCCACCGTTTGTTGGTGTTTTGTTTTACTCCGGTTAGCAGAAGTGGTAAAACGAAGTCCAAATCCTACAGTCACTTGTTTTCTCCTTTTTATACGCTCTTAGGCTAGGTGCAGAGACAAGTAGGAAGGGCGTTCAAGAGCTTTATGGTGGGGTTTGGTCAATTTGTACTGTGGGACCGAATGAAAAGGATGGATGTTCCAGTTGCTGGATGCTGCTGTGAACGGAACTTTCTAGAGTGTTTTATATGGTAAACCTATTAGAAAAGCTGTTTTAACATGCAAATATATGGATATATAACCACTAGTTCGCGTGAGGTATTAGAACTATTCGTCGAACTGTCGGCTGAGGATCCACTTCTACACAAGCCAGTGTTTGTAATGGTTTACCCTTCAGCCGTGTAAGCCCTCATATCTGTGATACATTAGCCTATAACTTCAAGAAATAGTCCTAGTTCGATCAACAAGGTAAAAGACAGCATATAAGGACACAAAAGAATGATTGCAATAATAATAATGAATGTATGAGGGAGATTAAGCGTCGTTTAATAACAGACATACAAAACCAGACGAACAAATTGCGCAACCATGTGTTCCCCATCGCAAGATACTTTGGTGAAGGAATCAGGTACTTTTATGCTGCAGTAGTTAATATCTACCGTGAATGGTTTATAACCGGTAAGGAGGAGGAGGAGGAGGATTATTCAAGATTGCTGTTTAGCGCCTTTGGAGGGTGGACCGATTTGTTGGTTGAGTGTCTCACTGTTGAAAACAAGATCGTTTAGCTACAATTGGTGAATGGTGCAATGAAGTGGATAACAGATTTCACCTGCTTGACCCGCTCTTAGCAACTATTCTGGCGGGTGAGGGAACACGATTTATGGGCTAGATACATTTGTGGCCGTTCAAGTTGCGTTGATGGTTAATTACTTGACACCACCTCAGAAAAGAAAAACCATTTGTTTTCTGATAATGCTTACAATGTTGTGCCAATATTTGAGTCAACCTGGAAGAAATGAATTCGGTTGACGAATTTCAGTAAATAAGTTCATTGGTCGTACGTTGAATGTAGCAAATGGTCACATACACAGAACAAGGTTTCATTGCAACAACTACGGTAATAGTAAACATATACAGCTACTCAACTTGGGAAAGCTTAAGTTGTTCAGGATCCCGGCATATCGCTGTCGACAACTGAATGCAGCTACACAAGGGGGAGGAAACCGGTTCAAAACAAACAGCTAGAATAAAAAATAAGACAAAATAGACGTCGAAAAATATTAGGAATGCACGCCAATCGCAGAGTGAGGAAAAAGTGAGCGCTTAACAGAATGCACCCATAAAAGTAAACCGCGTATCATATTTGTTGACCTGAGCATATTTAGAGAAACTGGTAGTGAAGTTAGAAGTTCACCCAATTACGATTTCATATAATGCAGGGGCATCTGTCCAATTTCGTCACTAAGGGAATTAAGGTTTTGGTCAAATATGAACAAATGGACAAGGGTGTGAGCGTACAGAGGACTAAACATTTACTAAATTAGTGCATGATAGGAGGTATGAGGATAGTCATAATATCCGAGGCTTTTGAGGACATGCTTCGGTGCACGAGTGGTCCTGGCAACAACGATGAGCGTTCGTTTAAATGATCGGAAAATTACAGTCCAAGAGTTAAAGGATGGCAAGTTAGATGAATTGCGTAACCATGTAAGACTCAGCTATATTGCTCGATATCATTATAGGACATGTAACGAAGTTGGTATAACAGCTTCTGTTGCGGACAAACGGCGCCGCACTGAAACTGGTGCGCACAATGAGTACGAACCTTGAGACGCGAACACGTGATGTTATTGCTCCGAGGAGCAAAGGAAGAACAGCGCGATCAGAAAGAAGCTTTTATCAGAGCACCAGAAAGCACAAAACGACAAACAGGTGTACATAAAAAAGCGAAGTATTCAGTCAAAACAGAGTGAATCGAATCAGCAATAAGGTGGATCCACAGGATGTCACAAACGATCAATAATTAAGACTGAAAAATATAATCGCTTGGCAGTAAATTTAACTCTATCAGTTCGGTTTCGAATTTGTTTCAATAGCACCCAGAAAAATTGGTGGGTTTTCGTAGAAAAAGCTTTTTCCTGTTTGAAAGAACCAGGAAGACAACAAATGTGCGAATATTTAGATTTTGCGAGGACATATAAAATTTCGGGTTGGGCCCTCAATGTCTGGTCATTTAGAAGTCATCAACTACGGCGGTACAGCCAAATTATATGCCAAAGATTAGATACAGATCGAGGATTTCGTTGTTTCTAGTAGTAGAAGCAACCTACTCAGTGTAACCAAGTGACGTTTTATGCGTGTAAGCCAATAGTATTTATTATTTTTGCGTTCTGTCCTTAATGGGGCTTTCGAATGTGTATTACTGTCAAGTTCTAGTATGATGGAACGGTTCAGTGATGTTTTGCACGATATCTGGTTTTCTATTACTTGGAGACTTTTATGAGAAATATCCAAGTAATTAAATCTATGTGCATTCGATGGTTGCCACCATCGTTACGAGGTATCATAGCTGGCTGCGAACAGGGAAATTTTAATAACCCTGGCTAACTTGACGGTGAATTTCAGGCGGTTGCATTCATGATTGTGCAGATTAGTCACTGCCACTTTGTCTGTTCCCTGCGTGCACTGCAGACAAACGTGACTTGCGAAAATTGAGGGTCTAGAAGCCCTAGTGTATCAGAGATTTAACGCTTAACTGGTTTCTCTCATCAAATTTAACTATCTCACCTGCAGTTATGGTTAATCTACATTGTACTGAACAGAAAAATAATCTCGATTCTCCTCTTTATCCAGGAATCCTCAGTCGGCAGCAATTATCCGCACAAATAATTCTTTGCAACACAAAAACTGTACTCATAATGCTAGTAAGTTATAACTCCTAACATAACAATTTTTGAGCAAGTATTGTTTGGCCAGTTAAAATTGGACTATTGTTTTCATAAAAATGAATTCATCAAAAATCCTTTACCTGGGTTTATTATACTATATTTTAGACCAGAAAATGCAGCCACCTTAAGTCTTTTCGAGTATTAATAGGTTTTCCAGCCTGTACCGCAGTCACATCGATTATGTTGATGAATGAACGATGCAAGGAACTACTTGTTCATGGGCGGCAACTTGAGCGCACCTCATTGGTTTTTATCAACTTAGCATCAGTTTAGGATGTAGGCTTCCGTTTTTGCTATCATGTGGCCCTAGATTGGAGCCTACCTAAACTACCGATGGAAAACGCTTGGTAAACATACTGATGGGATCGCTCGATGCATGCCTTGTATATAGCTATGTTTCACGGGAATACGTGCTTGTTCCGATATCATTTCCTAGCGACGTTTTGAAAAATACCAGAACCTTTGATCAAGTACTTTATGTTGTCTGCTAGGCGAGTATATATCACCAGTTGCAAATCGTGCGCCATAAAATTTCTAGATGAGGACATAAGGTCTGCATGCATATTCTGATCTAAAATATCTCCAAGGAACTCCAAACCAATTATATTCTACTAAGCATACGAGTAACACCATAGCAGGTTGCATTTAATAGGATACTATATGCCGATAACAGAAAAACTCAAGTTAATGACGATACCGCACAAAGCTTAAACAAGCTGAATTAAACAAGCTTTCCAATGCCTTAATAAACGTTAATGTGTCACATGCTTTTGGCAATAATTGTTGAATAACAATTATTCAGTAATAATGCTTGCAACGACTCCAAGCGCACAGGTGCAAAAACTTGAATTAATTTTTTCTATGTGCGCTATTCAACACAGTCTAGTAGCGCTCTATGTATCTCGTTATTTTCCCCGTTTAACATGAAGTTCCTCTTTCGTACAGGTACCACTAGGTGCTGAAATGTCCACCAATATCCGTGTTGGTCAGTTTCTCGGTGCTGGATCCGCTGAAGGTCCAAAATCGGTCATATCCGTCGCACTGGTATCTGTTTGTAAGTCAACTATTTTGTTCCAGTGACCAGTTACTTGCCGTAGGGGTCCTGACCTCGATGTTCGCAACAGGGGTAATATTACTAAGATGGCAACTTCCGAAAGCGTTCACATCAGATAGGTAAGGTGCATCGACGTTCTTGTTGTTGGTTTGAAGTTTACACTAAGATGTAATACCACGTTGGATGTATACAATGGTCTATTTCGTTCCAGCGCCGTCATCGAATTGGCCGCCAATTTGGTGCCCATAATCGCCGTCTTACAAATATTTGAAGCAACATCGGTGCGTTGGTCCTTACCTTTAGTCTTAATGACGCCACCAATGTACCTGCATTGATGTTGATTGGCTGGGTCAAAGCCAAGCAAGAATTTTGTTCGGAATAAATATCTTAAAGAAAACAGAATAATTTTTCAACGAGTTTCTATCTACAAATTCTATCTCATTGTTTGAGAAATTAGCGTTACTTCTGTTTACATTATGACCTATAAGGAATGTACAAGTCTTCGTTTCTGAAAAACAATTATCATGCTTGTGATACTTGCACCAACAATTTACGCCATCAGGTTATGTATGTCGACGAGTTACAGTGGCCACTGAACTGACAGCTTTGCAGACTTACCTCTCGCCACCTGCTCCCCTTTGGTTTCGGTTTATACCGTTGTCACCATATGTAGGCACTTAGAATACTTTCGTCTTACGTCGCCTAAACTAAGTGAATAGCAATATCACAAATATTTGCTCTCGTAAGCCTACTGTCCAGAATTGCTACATGAAGTATTTGCTAGATGACGGAGTAAAATTAGGACGAATAATGTGACTTGTATTAGCAAGCGTCTGCCTAGAGGATGCTTAATCCGTGCTGACTCAACTGGTTTATATCCTGTTGAGGCTACGGCATTTACAGAGATTATAGATGATGATTAGCAAAGCAGGAAAATGTGAAATTTTGTTCTTTGCTTAATTTGTACAGTGCTGAAAATCAGGTAGGTGGCGTAAAATAAACTTAATACCATGTTTTTACGTTTGACCTATTCAGAGTGTGTGCATGGGAGCTATTCGTGGAGCAGGTTTACAATTCATCGGCGCGGTCACTTGCTTTTGCTGCCAGTATTTGTTGGGAGCATCTACCGCAGTGCTGCTTGTATTTCGAGCTATATCCGGAGTAAAAGGTACGTTGAGTCACTTATTTTCATAATAACTTACTTTTGCGATATGAGTAAGAATTTCTTTAATCAGTCCGAATACTGAATATACATTAGGCATTAGTTAATTTTTATTAAAGCATGCTATACTGGCTGGAAGCGCAGTAGAAACATGTGGCCAGGTGACCAAGTATGCTTATTACAGGTGTAGGTGGAAGCATTTCGCTCGTAAAATGTGCATAATTGGCGTGTAGTACGTGCAAGGTAAGTGATCACTACATCTAAATCGTTTAGCGACTTATCTTTCGTTTACCTGTTCCCCACATCTATGCAGTCGCATTCTAGCTGCTTATGTAATTAGGTTTCATTTTCTCTCAAGGTTCTCGTTACACACTTGTATGCTAACACCCATTCAATACAGCAAAACCATCGCAAAACGAAGCAGCTGTCAGATATTCTGTGTCCCTCATCGCTCATTTGCTTTAGTTACACCACAGCACCAAATACGGGCAAACTACCCACACACTTAAACCTACCCCGCGAGCCATGTGTTACACCGAATGAGTGCTAAAGACTTGTAGACCTTAAAAACCCCGGCATTTACGCGAGATAAGAAAGATAGGATGCTACACGCGCTCCATTTTTAAACTGAAAGTCAACAATCAAAAAGCAAAAGACTCAATGAGCTCTAACGACCAAACGAAAGAGTCCGAACACTAAAATTAATAGGCGGGTTTATTTAATGCTCTAACACGCACGAACAAGGATACACAGTTTCAATTGCCTCATCCGGGTTCATTCTACCTGGGTTGCACACGGCAAAACCAGTAAAAACTATGCAACAATAGCCTAAATCACATGTGCTTTGGTGCACTATGTATAGTTATTTTACTGGTAGAGCTAGAATAAGGATAATCGCAGAAACACGCGAGACTAGTGGCAAAGATTAAACAAAGGATAAACAAATTTCGCTTCATTCAAACTGTGCTTTCCATAGAATAATCAGAGTTATCTACAATGGGCTCCGTATTAAAACCAAGGAAGAATGCTGTGCTGCACATCAAAAATATATCGCCAATGACGTTAAGTTTCATTACCATCAAAGACCCAATTACGACTGAACCATGCACTTCCAGTCAGAGAAGGATATGTAGGAGTAGGGACTCGTCTGCACACCAAAATGTTAAGATATTTTAAATAGATGTCAGCACTAGTGTTGGTTGGAAAGTGATTGCTGCCAAATGCAACAAGGATCTTTGGGATTCAGTTATACTAACTGGACCATTAGATATGAAGAAGGCAAACCTGTACTTACACAGCCCCCACTGCTCTTAGGTATTTCATCTGTAAGCCACAAAAGGCTTAAGAAATGTTGAGCCATACGCCTACTCACCGATTGTCCAAATTCAAGGCCGGAACGGACTGCTAATCAGCGGAACTAAATTCACAGGCCGGAGCCGATTCACATTCAAATTGTTAACTCAGAAGCCAAAATAGGTGGGACCACGGCGCTATGGAGTATTAATAAGTGCTAAAAAATGACGATCTTCAAACAGCCCCCTCAAAGAAAAATTCACATGTGAATCTTCGGTCCATACTATAACAGATCAAAGTCGACGATAAGCGAGGCCAAACAGTGAGTAATAAAATAAAATAAAAGAGTTCACAATTCGGTTGGCCTTGATGGCTAAAAGTGGTTGGCCTGTACAAACCTACCAGTAAAAGAGTTGCACTCGATGATTTATCGATATTTGAGAGATAGGCAAGTGTTTCCTCTCGCAGTCAGCTCAATGAGACTGGCTGTGTCCGTTGTAATCTGACTCCGGCTATCGGTAATTCAGTCATGGCATGTTCTGAATGCATAATAAAATAGGGCGGTCGATTTTAGCGTTTAACCATGATGTGGGCTGTATGAGCGAAATAAAGCACCTTACCAAGGCTCATATACAAAGCCAAATGAGAAATTACTAATAGGTCAATGGCAGGGTGCTTTGGAGGGACAAAGGGAAGCCTGCCCCGCAAGGATTGAACAAATTGTTTTGTCCGACACAATCCCCTCCATATCCGGTCCGGCTTTCCCGAGGATTTGGATGCATTATTATCTAGATCACTCTACCGCTGCTCCCTTCATGAAAATACGATAAGGAACTTACACCAGTGCGGATACACCTCCACTTCTTTCGGTTGGGCTCCTGGTGGAAATTCCTGAAACGCAGAATCAAAGACCCGCCTCCCACCTGCGAGGAGCAAACATCCGTGTCTACAACCACCATTGAGCTGTGATATTCCAAAAAACATATTATCCGCACGTCCCCTTAAGTACTCTATTCTTCCTCCTGTCATTTGCTTTATTTATATAGCCACCTGCCGAGGTGATACAGCTTTGGCCTACCCTCTAAGTCCGCATACTATGCGAGACGGGTTTGGAGGTAACTAAATCCATGCGTACAGGCCAAAAATTCCGGCACATAGCTTACCATTTCTTCCTTGCTTATAACTGCGGAAGACAAACCCTAACCCATCTTTTTCCTGTACTTTTCTCATACACCGAGTGTAACCCTCCATTCTCTACTCTCTTAACAAATCTGACACGTGTTACAGGATCGACAAACAAGTTGGAGTTAGGGCTGTCGTTCGGTATAGTCTGAAGAGGAACGAACGAAATTCTATTAGTAATACGCTCAGGTTTAACTAACACGGTAACAGCAGCTACGTTTTCCCCGTCTCTCTCGTGCCTCACAATCTTTCTCACGTGAATAGTGCGATCGGCACCGTCGTCCAACCCACAAGTTTTGGGGAGGATTCCTCAGAGCTTGGGACTATTCGAACATGGTAGTAACAACTCGCTGATATAAACAACACATTTGGACCATTCTAAGATATCTTTCACGTATTGTTGACATGGTGAACATCGTAATTTGAAACATCAATTCTTTCCAGTCCATAACTTTTATGCAAGTGCCAGCCACCTACTTGAACGTTTTTGAGCAAAAATGCCCATTACACTCAAGCAAAGTGTGCTGACCAGAAAAGGGAACTTTGGCCATGCCGTTGATGCGATGATCAGTGCAAACGTCATTCACAACAGCAAGTACGCTGCAAGTGGCCAGACGGTCGCAATCGTACGTATGACGCTTGAGGTAGACGTATTCCTTATCTTTACAAGGCGATCTGGAGCCCACTGTTTCAAGTCTAAAGTCCTTGTAATATTATCAACGTAAAATTCCTTGTGCATTCACAGAAATGCAACCCTGGGAACCTAGCTCGCTTCAACTCAAGTCCATCGACGGAGTAACCTGCATTCATGTCATCATCATCATCATCATCATTACACGTTAGCTGGATGTGGAATACACCTCAGCTATTGTGCCGTAATACAAAAGGCAAGAAAAGCAAAAAAACAAACAGACAATAGCACGCCCGCTGGGTCCCCAGTAACGGATGGACATTGTTCCGGAGAACTAACAGCTGGCTGCCGTAAAAGAAAGGCATATTATGCCTAACAGATGAGATCGTGATTGGAGGGGATGCTAAACAGGAGGGGGATGGACAAAGGAACTCACAACATTAACGCCATTGAGGCCGGCTCCTAGCCATATCAGCAAGTGCGTCCAACCAAACGTGTTCACCGTCTTTAGGACCCAAGCCAGGCAGTCGGGATGCACCAACCGACGCCAACTTCGAAGTGAGGGTTTTCATTTCTCTCGACCAAGTCATCACTTGGCCTCCCCTCCTTCTCTTCCAACCGCATCCACAACGCGCAAACAATGCACTTCGCGGGAGTCGGTGTGCTGGCATGCGCAACACGTGGCCCAGCAATCGGAGTCTGGTGCGTGATATAATGGTGCTAAGCGGTTCACTGGCTCTTCCTGCACCAGATACGCGAAGTCGAACATGCTCATTGCTCATGCGGTGTTCCCACCAGACATGAGCTAAGCTGCGAAGGCAGCTGTGATTGAACGTGACGAGTCTCTTCATGTCTGTCGACCTGATGGGCCAGGTTTCACAGCCATATAGGTGAGTTGAACGGACGGCTGCGTTGTAAACTCTGCCCTTGAGGGCGAGAGTAATGTCACGTCTGCGCCACAGGTGGCGGAGATTGGCAAAAGCACCTCAAGCTTTTGCTATACGGTTCGTAACCTCATCTTCAATCCCACGGGTGCTAATATAGCTGCCCAAGTACTTAAATTCCTGAACGACTTCTAGCAGATCACCACCAAGCGTTAGCGCAGGGTTGGGTCCCTGCCAAACTTGGAGAAGTACTTTGCATTTCGATGGAGCAAAGCATAGCCCAAAACGATTGACAGCCAGTGCTAATCGGTTCAGTGCTGTTTGGCATGTTTGGGAGCTGTCACAGGTTAGGGCAATATCGTCTGCATATCGTCTGCATTCATGTAATAATTCGTAAGCGTGGCGAATCTGACATGGAAGATCTGGAAGGGTGCGTTTCTCTTTATTTTTATGGTTCTCCGTGCGGATATCCTAAACTATTCACGGATCGGATGCCTGAGTGCAGTCTGTGACGGCCTGCGACTGTTTTGTGTGCGCTAACCGCTAGCTGGTTATGAGGGTTTCTTCGGGACTTTGTACGTGTTCCTCAGGTTTGATAGTTGGAGTCTTCGCATCTTATATTGTTGGCTCACTGTGTTGAACTTTCCAACTACTCTTAAGCAGCAAATTCAAGTATAGCTTTAGTGTAGTTTTCGCAAACTGAAGTGTAAGGCTAAGACACGGTTGGAGATGGATGTGAGCACAGTTTGCTTTACTTCCTTTAGCGGATCCAAGGAGGGGATCAGATCACCCGAAGGTGTCGAGATTTTGTTAGACTCATTTTCAGCAAACGAACACAGGTATTAACCAATCTCTGTGGTGGCCACGATATTGCCGGCAACCAAAGGTGGCCTGATTTAAAACTATATTAAGGGACATCCATATGCACGATTGCAGCCAGCCAAAACCGAGAACATATGAAACTCAAACTCATAGACAACAGGCAAAATCAATCAATGAAACACAACAACACCAAT